TCCATAACACTAAAGCAATGTGATAATTTGGAGTGAGTGCAACAAGAATTATTCCATACATCGTGAAGTAGATAAAGTACATGACTTTGTTACCTAAAGCCAATTTTTAATAATTTTCATAAACAATCATATCATTATTTAATATTCACTAAATATTTCATCACTATTTTGGTGTTCACGTAAAAAATGATGTAATACAACGCAAACAAATACTAGAGAGGGTGTTTTTGTAAAAGATAAAAGATTGGGGTAAAATTTTAATTTTTAAAATATTGGCCCAAATACTAGAAAAAATTAGTATTTGGAAATTTGGGATATTTGCCAAATAATGACAAATTGTATGTACAAATATTATTTGCCAAATTTTTCCCAAATATTATTTGGAAAATTTATGGCCAAACGGGCCCAAAGTCTCGTGTTAATGTTATCAAAAAATAAAATAAATCATAATATTTTAATTGGTGTAAAAAAATATATACAAATTTAATTCAAAACAGATCGATAGTGAAAATGAAATAAATCTATAGAACATGCGAAAGTGGTCCATGAATCATTAAATCCAGGGATGTGATTATCAATCTTTGTCACCAAAACCTAACAAAAAGTACTTTCATAATTGGCCACACAAAAATAAAAATTAAATACTTCAGTATAATTCTAATTTCTAAGGGAAAACAATAACCTTCTTGTAAAATTATTTTACCCCTTTTTTACTTTACCATTATGTTCTTAGAATTAGGAGAAAATTACAATTTCAGTAAATTAATAAAAGCACTTTCCAAATGCTAGTATAACCTGAAAAATACAGGTTATGCGCTAAAGATAAAATAAAATACATTGGATGCATATATTTTTGAACTTTTAGTGCAAATAAGTTTTTGGGCAATTTTAATATATAGCAAATAAAAAATTTATATTTGTACGCTATAGCAAAGTTTGCATAATTGCGTTCCATAGCAAACATAGAAACTGTATAATTCGTTATACATATATAGTTGAAGCAAATTGTATGAAACGAAGTGTATAAAGTGTAAAAGAGAAAGACACTTGGGCAGAGAATTGTATAAAAACGAAGTATATAAAATGAGTTGTATTATTATAAGTGTACAGAACGATTATATACAATTTGAATTTGTATAAAATGAGAAAGAGAGAAAGACAAAAGAGACTTGACAAGGAATATACAATTGAATCGAATTGTATAAAGCGAGAAAGAGAGAAATTACATACCATTTGAGAACTGTATAAAACGAGAAAGAGAGAAAGAGAAAAGAAACTGGGCAGGGGAGTATTTTTATTGTATAATTATAAGTGTATAGGACGAAAATATATGTACTTGCATGTGTATATACAATTTTCTCACGCTTTAAACAAACAGAAACACAATTTATACATTTCGCTTATGTTTGTATAAGTCAGAAAGGCGAGGGTGGCGAGCGAGATTTGGGAGAGTGGTGAGCAAGATCTGGAAGAGGGGAGAGAGGGGAACAAAAACATATGTATTTATACAATTTTCTCTGTGTTTGTATAAAAATGAGGAAGCGAGCGAGAGATTGGAGAGTGGCGAGTGAGATATTTGGGAGAGAGGCGTCTGACTATTTTTCGCAAACGATTGCTATGGAGCACAATTAAATCAAACCCTATCTACCCTATTTATTTTAGGTTATTAATTTGCTATTATATAGAAATTTCTCATAAGTTTTAATATCAAAGAGAGGATTGTGATTCAAAATTGACCGTGTTTAGAAAAAAGTAAATCTTTATGTATATCGAAATCAAAGAACTACCAAATTTATTGATTATTTATATCATTAAATAAATCATTAGCGATAAATTTTATCGATAGCTAATTGTTTTAATATATTTTTTTAGTGATACAAAAAGAAGACATTCTGAAAATTGAGAATTTCAACAAATCTGAAACTCAAAATTGCAAAAAAAAAAAAGAAAAAAAGTGAGGTTTTTGACTAAAGTGATCCACCAAACTCAACTGCTAAATTAGTTATAAATGGACCCCTACCCCTTTTCCTTTTTCTTTATTTCATATTACCCTACATTTTGAGAACATTAATCTCACTTTAAGTATCTAGAAAGCAAGCAAGAAAAAAAAAATAAATACTCTATCCGTCCTATAATAGTCAATAACTAAGAATAGTTGCTTCATATTAATTATTCATTTTACTGAATCAAAAAAATATTATTTTTTTTAAAAAATATTCATGTAAAATTTTCAAATAACTTTTTTAAGGAATTTAGTATATTTACAATTTTCTTAAAAAATATAAAGTAAAAAGTGATTAACTAATATGAGAAGGACGACAGTGGGACTAATAAATATAATATAAAGCCACAAGACAAATAAACACACTATCTTTTGACTATGGACCAAATCATGATTTTATATTTTCTGCCTATAATTAAGGTGCCTTGTTGTTTAGACATTCTTAATGGAATAGCACATGCAGCATGCACCAAAAGCCATAATTTTACCTACCCCACAAATCACACTAAAATTTCCCCCACAATTCCTCAATCTACGCACATCATCACGGAAAAAGCTAGAATTAAACCAAAGTATTGCATTTTTAATAACTTTATATAAACTCTTCATAAGAACCAAGAAATTAACCAGTACACCTCAATATTCTATTTGTTTCACTATGGGGCATTTTATCAAGCAAGTGGTGTGCATTCTGTTCTTGGTGATTTCAACTCCGTCTGTGCAAATTGAAGCTAGAAATAGCAAGTTTATGATAATTCCTACATCTCCTTCACCTGCTCCTACTCCGATTTCTAATGAAATTAGTTTCCCTCCTTTTTCATCGTTAAGTCCAACACCAGCACCAGCACCAACACCGGACTTTAATGATTTTGGATTTCCTCCTTTGTCGTTTTTAAGTCCAACACCATCACCGATAGAGGGTGATCAAGATCCTGGTTTGCCAACACCGGCGGGGGCACCGGAGGAAGGTGATATTGAAGCACCAGCACCACTTTTGAGTGACACTCCTTATGGACTTTATGGTCCTCATGCTCAGGAAGTTCCTTCTACTACTCTCACAAATTTTGATGATGTAGAAAAGGAATTACAAGGTGCCCGTTTCAACACGGACGAGTCCTACAATAACAATAACAACAACAATAACAATGGATACTCTGATAATTACAACTACGATAGCCACTCGAAGAATTACAACAACAATGATGGTCACTCGGAGAATTACAATAACAACAATGGGTATTCCCAAAATTACAACAACAATGATTTCTCCGAGACTTACAACAACAACGACGATGCTTTCTCAGAGAATCACAACAACAACAATGATGCTTTCTCGGAGAATCACAACAACAACAATGATGGTTTTTCGGAGAATTACAACAACCTCAACCATAACAACAATGATTTCTCCGAAAAATACAACCACAACAACAATGATTTCTCCGAGAATTACAACAACAACAACAATGTTTTCTCCAAGAATTACAACAATAACAATGATTTCTCCGAGAAATACAACAACAACAACAATGTTTTCTCCGAGAATTACAACAACAACAACAATGATTTCTCCGAGAAATACAACAACAACAACAAACTCTACTCTGAGAATAATAACAACAACAACAACGACGACAATAGCTACTCCAAGAATTACAACAGCAACAATGATTTCTCCGAGAATTACAACAACAACAACAATGGTTTCTCTGAAAATTACAACAACAATGACTTCTCGGGGAATTACAAAACTAACAACAACAACAATGTTTTCTCTGAGAATTACAACAACAACGGGTACTCCAATAGTTACAACAACAACAACAACAACAACAGATACTCTGAGAATATGTCAGAGAGGCAAGGATTAAGCGACACAAGATTCTTGAACAATGGCAAGTACTACTATGACATCAAGAATGACAATCCCAACAACAACAATGATCATGCTAACAGCTACAATAACAATGCAAATATGGTGGAAACTCAAGGATTCAGTGAGACACGATTTTCGGACAATGGCAACTACTTTTATGGTAAAAATGGTGAGAAAATGACCATGGAAGAGTTCAAAAGACAACAGGACTATCCAGGCACTGAGGATCAGTATGAACTTCCTTGAAGATAAAACATTTATCAATTGGTTCAGAACACAAGGACAAAAGCAGGGGAGGATATTCAAATAGATTTTACATTGAATTTTTAAGTTATTTTGAGTGAGTGTTTGTGTATTAGTTCTACTTGTGTCTGCAAACACTTTTTTTTTTAATAGTTCTACAAATCAGACCAAGGGAACTTTGTGTTGTTCAACACTTTTCAATTTTTTTTAACTTTTTATAATGACATTATTGAAGCTTCATGCCTGCCTGGTTATAAACTTGTACTGAAGTAGTAATATTTTTGTACCTTCAGTTCTTTGTTTTCTTTTTTTTTTTGGTTACAAGGACACCGTAATCGCCTGTAACCCACCGGAAATATAAACCACATTAGGCAAGTCAATGGAGATGATGGCTTTATTTTATTTGAGCAGATTTATTTAGTAATCCAAGATATCGACTCCTATAAACTTGTCTAATTAAAAAAAATGTACGCGAATTACATGAGGTTTGGAGCCATAACCTATTCTTTTTCAAGTTTGAATTTCAAATTTTACATAAAAATTTCAAAAATTGTATTAAAAGAAAAAAGTCTGAGAAAGGAAAAAGAAAAACAGAGAAAAGATTACATGAGCATCTTACTTTTGCTCTAGATGTGAGTTTTTTCAATTCATTACACATCTCCCTCCTTTACCACTCCCTCAAGAAGGAAAAAAAGAAAGAAAGAAAACAATTTTGCACAGAGGTGTGGAACTTTAATTTTTCGATAGATCCTATATTTACATAAGAAAATTAATTAAATTTATATGTATATTAATTTGTGAATTCCTATTAAAATTGATCAACGAAATTTAAAATCTCTAAATCTTAATCCTCGCTTCGCCTGCACAGGAATAACGTTTTAGATCAGTTGGCTACTATGTGTATACTATTAAATATGGATTTAAAAACAAAAAATACTAATCTATGCAATATAATCGACTAATTTTAAGATTGGGAATTTTGGCTATAAATTCTGCAGTTCAACTTGAAGTTGAATTTCAGAATTTTCTAGAATTTGAAAAATAACAAAAATATTTTCACTCCGAATTACTCAAACAAAAATACAAAAAAAACAAAAACAAAACTCTGCTCAAACTAATATCAACGGCCCACTTAATCTAAAATGGGCTGTTAAAGTGAAAAGCCCATTCTTTACTTACCAGATCCAGTAGCAAGCCCATACAAAACAAGTAGTACAAATTTGGGCTTAAAGAGTCTATAACCATAAATGGGCCTTAAAATTGGCCAAGCCCACAAATCTTCTTGCCCCATTTGTCTCTGCAAATATATGCATATAAAAAAAAGTGCTACAACAAAACCCAAACAAGTATAACTTTAGCTTGGTGAAGACGAAAACCTTTGTTCTTTCTCTCGTCAGTGTTCAACATCAGTTCAATTTACCGTATGTTCACTATGTATTTGAATTTGAATTGATGAAATCAAGCTATTGCACAATCAATTTCAATAAATTTGTACTTACTACTCCTGTTTTCTCTGCTAGGGTTTTAGCTGACAATGTCGAAGACACCGGATCCAAACAGTACAGATGCTAGCGGCAGCAAGTCTACAAAAGAAGAGGCAACAATTAAGGTTCCTTCTAAGGACCCAAAGAAGAAGGATGATAAGAAGGATGAAGATCTCGTAAGTGAACTTGAATGAAAATCGATTATTTAATGTTTAAGTTTAGGAATTTTTAGTTTTTGTTACTAATTTTTGAGGGATATTGTGCTGAGAGAGTTATCACGGAATCAAAATTTAAAATTTGATTGATTAGATTGTGTTTTCGTTGTATGATTTTTGATTTTGCTGGGATTAGTCGGAGGAGGATTTGGCGTTGAAGCAGCAACTGGAACTGTATGTGGAGAGGGCTCAAGATGCTGATCCAGGACTACAAAAGGTTGCACTTGAGAGTATGAGGTATTTCTCTTTCACCCTTTCTTTTCGTGTTTTTTAGGGTATGTGGATGTTGAGGATTCACCAAGCAAAGTTGACCTAGTTTGGGATTAAGGGGTAGTTGTTGAGGTGAGTTGAAATTGGACAATGGTTACTGCTATAGATAGTGTAAAGGTTCTTGCTTTTGTTGAGCTCCACTTGGGAGATTAAATATGCTTTGGGGCTTTGATATTCTAGTTCCTTTGCACACTGTTGTTTCGAGGGAAATTCGGGTTACGCACAAGGAGGGGAACTGCCTGGTAGAAGTTATCTTTAGTGCTTTAAGGTGCCTTATTCCATTGTAGGTAAATAGCAGCTTGATGATGGTTCCACATTCCCCTTTTTCTCTTTTCTGTGGATGTTGCGTAGTACACCTTTAGTAGAAGACGTTCTTGAATATGAATGTAATAGTTGCAGTTTTATTGTTAGCTGACATGTTCTTTGGGAACTCTTTCAGAAAGTAGTGCGACCCCCTTTGACAGGTGCTAAATCCATCAGTTAGACATGGTAAGTTAGACATGACAACTGATGGAAAATGAATGTAAGCATGTGTAAAAGACAGCCTTTTGGAGAATTAGCAAGCACTACATGCATATGAAGCATGTACGTTATAATATTGCATCCTCCAAATATCGGTGGAAGAATAAAAACTGTACTTCTTTTTTTCTAGACTTTGTCTATAAGCTCCTATCTTCACTTTGTATGAGAAATCATACGCCGACTTTAATCTTCAATCCTTAAAGTTTTTAGGTTCTGTCATTTACATAAGCAAGGAGACATTTTCTTTTTGGCTCTTATGCTTATTCATCTTTCCTTTGTTATAGACAGGAAATACGTACATCAACAAGCTCGATGACATCAGTTCCAAAACCATTGAAGTTCTTGCGTCCCCACTATGGAACACTGAAGGGATTTTATGAAAAGATGCCAGACTCAGATTTGAAGGTATGGAATTGGCGTTGCACTTAACTGCTGTCGAAGTTGAATAAATTTCACTTACGCAATTTCAACTGCATGCAGAAACTTATGGCAGATATACTTTCTGTTTTGGCTCTGACAATGTCTGCTGAAGGAGAAAGGGTATGTCTTGTTTTTGGTGCATTTTAATAACTGTGCATGTGTGATATGCTATCACTCGTGCTTTTTTGAACATTTACAACTTCTTCATCTATTTTATGGCTATTATCAATTCTATTGGTTCTTACAGGAGAGCTTGAAGTATAGACTGGTGGGCTCTCAAGGTGAAATTGGTTCCTGGGGACATGAATACGTTAGGTAAGTTTGATAGCTAGTACATTTGTCTTATCCTCTCTGTTCATCCCATTTATATGGCTATTCCTTTAGTAAGAACATATTTATTATTTGAAACTTATTTTGGAATAGCTTACCAAGATATGACTTCAGAAAATCTGCATCTTCTCTGGGAAGTTAGCTCTTTCAAGAGCTTGTATTTGTATTTATATTATTTGCCAGTCTTGACGGACGTCAATGGTGCAAATGAGTATGTGCATAGCATCTCTGGCATGTGCTGTTTTGTGAAACATAGTACCTAGCGCAGCTGTGTGTTAAGTTGATCTAGGATAAAGAAATAAACTTTATATTTGCATGAGTGATGGTTCATTTTTAGGGGAAAGGAATACATAGCAGTAGTGAAGTGTATCTACGTCCTTCTCCCACTTGTCGGGGTTGAGCTGTAGGAGTAAAGACATGGAGATTCCAAGCTTGAATCTCAGCTACAACATCCAGTGAGAGCCCATCTACTTCAGCTTTAGTGACGGCCTGGCAGAATTAACTTGCACCTGTGTCTATGGGATTTAGTATGCTGTTCGATGGATCAGTCATGTTGGACGCTAACTGACCTCAAATCACCGTTATTGTCATCCAGATATATTTATCAATATTGTAGTGTGATGTTAATGCTAATTTCCATTGTAATGCATGAAATGACTTTCTGATTGTGTTCCATTTCAATACAAGATACTAGCTCTAAACAGCATACACATTACTTTGTGTGTGAATTCATGTGTTTCATTTCTTAATTCTTGCTCAGTCCATCTTGTACCTCAAGCATTGGTCCGATTATTTCTACAGGAACTTAGCTGGAGAAATTTCTCAAGAGTATGTAAAACGACAGGTTTGTTTTCTTTTATCTCTTAAGTTGTGTAAGGTTTCAGAAGAATATTACTATGTGTTTTTATACCATTTGTGCCGTTCATGCTTTGTTTAGAGTTTTGGTTACTTTATGCATCAGTAATTCAGGCTAACTTTTACTGCTATGTACATATGTACCTTCTATCATTTTTATACAAGTCATTGATGCTCTGCATATTACCACTAGAGTAATTCCATGAGGCCCGGGCCTGGGCCCAAACTCAAGGTATAAAAGTAATAAATTTAATTAAAGAAGTATAGTTTATATCATATTTTTTACTTTATAATAAATATATAATCTAATGGCACGCTGGACAGTTGATAAGTCTTCATAATTATTTAAGTTCTTAATCATTTAATTGGATATTTTAATTAAAAATTACTATTTATGAGGAAAAAGTTTGGCTGGAGAATTAGGGAAAAAAAAGAACACAAGTGGTTAGATATTTTATAAAATAACATGATTTAAATACGTAAACGAGTACAATTCAATGAAAATCATAAATCGAAGAGTATTGACATTTTTATGAATTTGTGAGCAAGCAACTTATTAATTATCCACAGAAATAAATATAATTTGATATTTATTAAGTTCTGATTTCATTCGTAATTTTTTGCAGCAGGAGTTTCTGATTTTTTTTGATCTTATAGAAAAATCCAATACAACAAAAAAATTCAATAACTTGAAGTTTATATTGCAATAGTTTTGACCTTAATTTAGAGGCTTTATAAAAATTAACTTAATAATAATCTTATAAGAATATTAATAAATAATAATTAAAGTATATTAAAAGGATTTCATTTGATCCATTTTACATCTTTTTTTACTTTTTTATAAACTCCTTGAATACCACATCCATCCCATTATAATTATTTTTTTAGTTTTTTTTTTCACTTCTAAATAAAAACAATATATATACAATGTATTACTAAATACCATATTCATTAGATGCTTTTTGAGAATTAAAACAATTTTTAAGAGAACTATTAGGGTATAATTGAAAATAATTTGTGCATTTTAATTTGGTACTAACAATTGTTTTTAGATATTTTTTTGAGGGAAGGGACTATTAATGTAAGAGAGAGTATTAACTAAAAGGTAATAATTAATATAATAAGTGGTGAGAAGAGATTCATAAAGTCACACCAATAACAAAGGCCCATGTGAGAATGATCTTAAGA